CTCCCGCGCGGCTCCGAGGGGACGGCACCGGGGGGGTCTCGGGACCACGTGCAGGAGCAACAAGCCAGGCCCGGCGGGTGCCCGAGCAGCCCCGTGGCAGCTCCCCCAACACCCCACTTGCTCCCCACAGCTCTCCCAGAACCGAATTGCAGAGAAACTTTATTTAATCCTGCATTCCTCACCTAAACAGGGACCGGCGTTTTGTAACACCCGGCTCAAGGTAACCTTCACACGCTTCTCCAGCTGCTCCCTTCACGCACAGTCTGGGGCTCTTATTTTAATTATCTTAAATACTCTTTTAAATTGCCGGGGCAGATGCCCAAAAGAGGGGGGAGGGGAGGGAAAAAAAAAAAAAAAAAAAAAGAGGTTCTCAGATTTGTTCCTTAAGAAAGGAGAGAATACTAAGGGAGTAAAATATTTCAATGGTATTTTCTCTCCATCTCTCCACCTCTTTACTTTGATCTTGCACTGTTGGATGAGGTGAAGGATGTAGGGATAAGGTGTGGAAAGAGCTAAAGAATTTAATTCCTGGGTCGCTCTGTCTAGCAGCAGCCCCAGGACAACACCATGCCATGACAGCAGAGGAAGACCACTACCATTTGAGCCAGTTGGACATACCTTGTCTGGCTGATGACAAATGAGATAGAAGGCTGGGAAAGCAGGAAATACAGGGACAAAAAAACTGTAGAAAACTTAATTAATGGAAAATAAAACACATGGAAAACATGTAATACTAATCAGGCATCCACAAAACTTCAGGTCCTCTCCTGCTATGTACATTAAAGTATCTGCAAGTTGGAGGAAAACTCTCACAGGCTTAAACCAATGTAAGAAGCAGTAATATCAACACTCCTCAACAGCAAAACAGTATGGATTACAGTCTACTATTCATTTACTATGTGATGGTGAGGTAAATAAGAAAATGGGAGAAACCTGGGCAGCTGGGAGAGTACAAGTAAGTTGTTCTCAGCACCATCATTTATTTTTCCGTATACTTCTGGGTAAAAATGCATAAAGTTTTGACAACTCTGTACAGAAAGACAGGTCCACTTGACAGACATCTTTTCAACAAGACTGAATGACAACAACTTCAGAAAACCTTTTCTCTTTTCCTTTTTTTCCCCCCATTTTTTCACCGTTTTTTTTTTTTCCTCCTTGGAAATGCTGGTTTTCCAGCTTCTGAAAAGCCTCCTCCCTGGGGGTGCTGCGGAACGTCCCCCCCGGCACCGCACCGAGTCCCCAGGGCTGCTCTGGGAGCAGGGATGGTGCCAACCCCAGGCCCAGCTTCAC